TTTTTTTTTTTTTTTTTTTTTTTTTTTGAAAGGCTAACTTGTGAGGCTCAAGGCCTCGATGAGCCCTACTGGGCCCTGTTTACAGCAGTATCGGCCGCCCTCAGTGAAGGCAGGCCTGACCAAGGATGAGAGGCCTATTTTGGGCATTCCACGCAACTGGGAAATTCAGGCAGTTGCGCAGCGCCAGTTGGTTGAGAGAACCCAGGCCCTGCCTGCCTATCTCAAATGTATCTGAGGCAGGCCCTGGGCTGGACACGGGGCATGACTGCACACAGGCCGCTGCCAGTTGAACACAGGTAACCACCGCAGGCCCTGTGTCTGATTCCCTTGGACCAGGGCTCAGCCACTTGGGGCCTACCGGAAGCTTCTGGGCAGGGGCCCAGTGCAGCCAGGCAGCACGCAGCAGGCAGGCCATTTCCATATAGGAAAGTGCCTGCCCCCCCATTCGGGCACTTGCTACATGCTGTGCTACTGGCAGGCAAGCGCCCACGCGCTCACGGGCGAGCAAGGGATACGCAGGCAGCCATAGCCGAGCTGGCCTGCGAGGTGCTGGATGGGGCCCATGGTGGTCCTTGGGTGCACGTGGCATCTGTGTGGGGGATCGAGGTTGTGAGTGATGCGTGAGACATACCTGGTGCTTGAGGCGAACGACATTGGCCGAGATCTGCTCGTACTTCGGGGAGCTGTTGACGTCACCAGCGGCATTGTAGATAGGCTAGATAGGATCAGCCATTCGTAGTCTGGGCTGCCGAGTGCCAGATAGGAAATCGACATTGGTTCTTTGTTGATGATGATGAGACTATTCCAACATTGTCACTTGTGAGCTTTTGCTGTGCACTTATCTGGTGGAACTCGAGTTGCAATTCTGCTTTTGGTTCGAGGTCATGACTATATGGTTCCATGTGTATGATGCTGCTTGGTTTTCTGGATTTCGTTATCGCTCATTTTCCTTGCATTTCGGTATTGGAGCTGTGGTACGTTGCGCTAATCTGGCGCTTGTCCTCTGCCTATGCGGTACATGCATGCGGTCTGCTGGGTGAGCGGCCGTAGGACGTGTGTAGTGAGGAGGGAGAAGGCAAGCAGGCGACCCAGGCGGAGAGGGGTATCACCAGGAAGGCTGCGAGATGGTATTGGGTGTTCGCAGTGTAATGAGAACTATCTAATGTGCGATTGATGCTGAGGTGGAACGACAGTGTAATGCTGGTTGTGCCAAAGCAATGATTGGTCATCACAATCGGCGTCAGGTCATCTGGTGAGAATATTTGTGGTTGGGGGCAGCTATTTTGAGGTACGTTGCTCTTAACCTTATCTACCCTCTTCGACACTTCTTACCGCGAGGATGTGTGTTATGTCTTAAGAGTCCTCTCATGTGAGGAGTCGAGTGCGTTCAACCTTGAAAGTTGGCATTGTTCACGTGGAGCATCTGGAAGGAGAGGGTGGAGCACTCTCAAGGGCCATGGAGGAAGCACTGGTTCACGGTCACCATCCCAACCCACCGGGACTAGAGCACGCATGCTTTGCTGCTTTGTCCTTTGTCTGCCTGTTGCGCTATAGATGGGTTATGAGGGGCAGGCCAGCCCTACAGGGGAGACGAGTACCGAACGTCTATAAATAAATATCGGCGGGGTTACCTTCCATTGGCTGTGATTGTCGTCTTGTTTGCGACGTTAAATAATTCCTGAGGACTTTGGGGGCCGTCCTTAAACGCCTCTTAATCAGCCAATTGGTTGGTGTAAGGCTCGCTGCACGCGAGGGTAAAAATGGTGCAGGGCTGGACAGCTCAGCATTGACTCGGGGCTCAGGGGTGGGTTGTGTGCACACCTTTAGACACGCACGCTATCTAGATCACTCACGGGCGCTGAAGTCAAGTGACACTTAAGAAGAACTGAGGGAGGGGTAGATTTCAGGCGATAAGTTCGGGAACAATTCCACTCTGCCAACAACCCATCAAATGATTCTATTTATATTTTGATTAGTTAGATGTACAGCCATTAACATCTGACAGACAACACAGGTAGAACTGTTTCTGCTCATTTGCTTTCTATTTGCGGACTAGTCAAATAAAATAGTTTCGTTTGTAGGAATCTAAACTTACCTGCTGGACCCAACTGTGTATACTCTGACATAGCCACCGGTTAATATCGGTCTGAGCTCTACGCTGTAGTAGGCAACCAGGTTTGTCCTAGTGCAGCTCGTGCACAATTTTGTTGCTTATTAGCGACAGGGAGAACCCTGACCCGGACGATAAGATCCTGTGATCGGCAAGACGCCCATTGGCCCACGTGCCATTAGGACCCAAGGGTGACAGGTTTCTGTTCCTCCAGCTTAGGGAGGGGAAGCAGCAGCAGCGGAGAGCTATGGCCGCAAAGGCAAGTACAACTTTCACAAGCGAGGCAACTACTTCAGCAACCATGGCCATTGATGCGCAGCAAAGTTCCCAGGCCACTAGTTCAGGGACGGTTGGGGCAACAGTCGCACAGACCCTGAGTCAGCCGATGGCGTTATGGCAAGCCAGCAGTTAGTGTTGACTCCCGAGGAGATTGCCATACAGAGAGCAAGTGCTCATGAGGCACAACTGCAGCAGGCGTTAGATGAGATACATGCAGAAAAGGAGAGAATGATCAGAAGGACTAGGATGCAGCGGAGACAAGCGGATATCAGAAAGTTAGAGGGGATGGACCTGACAATATGGATGATGATGTAAGGGCCATGAGGACAACCCTGTTAGATGTAGTGGAGATGTAGGACTACCACACGTTACTCTTACAGGACATCCAACGGAGCCTGGCCGTGCTGGTCGGGCGAGTTCAGGGTACACCATCACCATCAGGGCTCGGTGCCTGGCCCGTGGTACAGCCTCCTCCTTTTGTCCCACCTGTGACTGGAGTATCCCCATTTGTAGTATCTCCAACTTGAGTACAGGTCGCTTCCCTACTGAGTATGCCTTTGACAAGTGGGTTAGCAACAGGTCCTAATGTACAGGTTCCTGTTCAGACAATGTTCTCCCAACCTCCGTTGCAGACTGCCGTAATTGGGCAGCCTGCTGTCTCACAGTCGGCACAGCCGCAGGGCACACAACCCCAGCAACAGCTAGTGCCGCAACTTGCGCCCCAATGTCCACAACCTGGAGTGTTGCAGGCACCGGAACAAGGACAGTGGGTTCCCAAGACTGCCATTGCATCGCCCAAACCATTTTCAGGGGATAAGAGGGGTGAGGACCTCGACACATGGTTGAGGTCAGTGCCAGTCTATGTTAAGTGCAAGCTTACCTTGTCTCACGAGGACGTGCTTGAGGCTGCCTCCTACCTGGAGGGGAGTGCAGGAAGATGGTTAAGCGGGTACATGCAACTGCAGGGATACGGTCATGACTTCCGCGCTTGGGTAGTCAACCAAAAATTGGAAGACTTCCTCGAGCTGGTGGAGGAAAGGTGGCGTGATCCGTGGGAGGCCCAAAAGGCCACTAACACGATCCTGACCCTGAGCTCTAGGAAGTTTAGGTTAGTAAGGGATGCCACGGACGCTGTTGAGCGTTTGACCTGTGTACCTGGAGTGCGTTACAATCCCCAGGTCTTACTCACCACTTACCTGAGGTGTCTTCCCATAGAACCCAGCAATCACTTGGCAAGTGAGGCCATGATCACACTGCACAACTTCCCCTCGTTTAGCAAGAAGGCCCAGGATCTGGAGGCCAAGATCGGGCATGGACACCAACCCACAACGGATGGTAGGAAAAAGACACTGCCTCCCAATTGGAAGGCGAAGGGTCGCATCATGTTCGTCGATAACGATGGTTCAACCATAGAGTTAGACGACGACTTCCAGGAGGGAGTAGGGCCATAGACAGGCATCGCAGACACTTCAGGGGCTGGAGCAGTCGCTGCCTCTTTGCAACAAAAAGGTAAGGCGATCGGTAGACGCCGCAGAGGCTCCCAGTCTAGGAGTCAAGTAGACCCCAATGCTCCTCCATAGGAAAAAGTGGGGCTCACTGAGGACGTGTGGAGAGACCGTTACACCCGGTAGGCTTGTATCCGTTGTGGCCAATATGACCATAACCAATTCAAGTGCCGGAATAAGAAGGTAACAGAAAAGACCCCGCCTACGATGGGGCAGGTGTCGGTCTCCTCCGCTTCTCCAGGTAGCAATGTCGCCAGCAGTTCTGGCACTGCTCCGGGAAATACGTCGGGCAAGTAGGAATTGTAGTTGTTCCCACTACTAGGGTCGAGGTGGTGGACACACCCTCACCATCTCGAGAGATGGCCCAAGCTATTGACTCCGTTGTCGTCCCGCAAACACATTCGGACCAATCGATCCTCTGTTTGATGAATGTGTTTGAGTCCTTAGAGGAGCTAGAGGAGGAGTGGTCTAGATCGGACCCGCTAGCTTCTTGGACGCCCATGGCAAAAGCCCCTAAGGGTGAGTTGTTTGTCAGCGAGGTACATATAGGCGGTCGCAAGGTCGGGGCCTTTTATGACACTTGCTCGACGAGGAACTTCATCAGTCGCGCGTGCGTTGAGAGGCTGCGCTTACAGGGGCAAGTGCATTGCCTGAGTTGACTTGTGGAGTCGACCTGTGCCAACAAACAGCGCATGGTATCAATGGCTACCTTAAAGACGTGGAGTGTCGTTTCCCGTACGTGGGAGGGAAATTGAGACATCGAGTCTCGTTCCTAGTCAGCGATGATCTCCCCATGGATATCTTGTTGGGAATGTACTATCTTTCGGTTGCACAGCCCCGGTTTGACTGGGACCGAAAAGTGGTCAAACACACTTTGCCCGGACGGGGGACCGCCAGATTACGTAAGTTCAAAGCTAGTAGTCTGATTGAGTCCTACGGATGCATGTGTGCGGCCGCGTTCTATAATTACTATAAGCAAAATCTGGAGGAGGGTATGTACTTAGTTTATGTCTCTGCAGAGGGCGAGCCGGTGAAAATGCCTCGAGAGATAGAAGGAGTGGTTGCTAGATACCCTGATCTATTTGAAGAGCCGAAAGGGGTTGTTGAGAGGGAGGTCGTCTACGCGATAGAGATTACCCCGAAGGGTAGGATCTATCGGATGTCTCCAGCGGAGCTTGACGAGCTTCGTCAACAACTCAAGGAACTCATAGAGAAGGGTTGGATCCAGCCTAGTGTTTCCCCTTATAGATCTCCTGTTTTATTTGTACCAAAGAAGGGGGGAACCTTGAGGATGTGCATTGACTATAGGGGCCTCAATGCCATCACTGTAAAGAGCGCAGAGCCCCTATCGCGCATCGATGACTTGTTGGACCGAGCGCAAGGGTGCCGGTACTTTAGTAAGATAGATCTAAAGTCCGGGTACCATCAAATTGCAATACGGCCCGAGGATCAACACAAAACCGCTTTTGAGACCAGGTACAGTCTGTACGAGTTTGTGGTGATGCCTTTCGGCCTTTGCAATGCTCCTGGCACCTTTCAGCACGCCATGAACCGGATCTTTCATTACTACTTGGACAAGTTTGTCATCGTGTACCTCGATGACATACTTATCTTTAGTAGGACTGTCGAGGGGCATGTTGGCCATTTAGACAAAGTCCTTAGCCTCCTTCGGCAGCACCAGTTCAAGATCAACCGGGGGAAGTGCGAGTTTGGCCGCACTCGGATCTTGTACCTGGGTCATGAGATTTCCGCAGAGGGATTGAAGCCCGATGATGCGAAGGTGGCCAGCATTCTTGACTCGTCGCGTCCTCGGTCTGTGACTGAGATGAGGTCCTTCTTAGGGATGACCGACTACTACTGTAACTTTGTAAAGAACTATAGCATAGTGGCCGCCCTTTTGATGGACCTGACACTCCTTGACACCTCGTGGGAGTGGACAGACAGATGTGAGAATGCTTTCAGACATTTGAAGCACTCCTTAATAGACCATTAGGTCTTAAAACTTCCTGATCCTGACAAGCCATTCATAGTAACCACAAATGTCAGCCAATACGGCATTGGTGCCGTGCTTGCACAACAGGAGGGGCCAAAGTTGAGGCCAGTTGAGTACATGTCCAAAAAGATGCCCTCTCAAAAGTTGGCTAAGTCCACCTATGAGAAGGAGCTCTATGCGATCTACAAGGCGCTAACCCACTGGAGGCACTACCTCCTTGGGGGGTTCTTCTACGTCAGGACTGATCATGAGACCCTGAAGTGGATGAGAACCCAGTCAGTGCTCTCTGATGTGCTGAAACGTTAGATCGAAGTCATTGAGCAGTATGACTTCGAACCTCAGTACATCAAAGGGGAGTATAACAAACTTGCTGATGTATTGTCGCGTAGGCCGGACTTCCTGGTGCGCTGATCACTGAGTTCGGGCTTGCGGACGATGTTACTCAGTCCCTGGTGGAAGCCTATCGCGAGGATCTGTTTATGTAAGAGATCATACGCAGACTTGAAGTGAAGGACAAAGTCACTTCTGACGAGTTTGTAATGGTCAATGGCCTGCTGTTCCTTGAGAAGGCCGGGTATAAACGTTTGTGTGTGCCTAATCGGGAGTCTTTGCGTAGTTTATTTTTAGGAGAGTGTCATGACGCCACCGGACATTTTGGCTATAAGAAGACTGCAGTCAACCTGCTGCAGCCGTTCTTGTGCCCCATAATGATGAGAGACGCCAAGCTGTACATGGAAACTTGTTAGGTCTATCAGAGGGACACGCCACGTACACAGGCCCCTCTTGGGCTTCTCAAGCCCCTTCCGATATCGGAAAGGCCTGGTGAGAGTATGTCCATGGACTTCATGGACACGCTGGTCACCAGCAAGAGCGGTATGTGATACGTCTATGTCATTTGTGGATAGGTTTAGTAGGTATGCTAGGCTAATACCATGCCAAAACCGAGTACGTGATTAAGTTGTTCAAAGAAAATTGGGTCAGGGATTTTGGACTGCCAAAGTCTATAGTTAGTGACCGGGATGTGAAATTTACCAGTGAATTGTGGAAAACCGCAGCTGCAGAGCAGGGGACATAGCTGCAAATGACTTCTGGGAACCACCCAGAGGCAAACAGACAAGCACAACAGCTGAACCGCGCTGTACAACACCTGCTGAGGCACTACATCAAGCCTAACCAGGTGGACTGGAGAAGAAACTTGCCCTCATCGCCAGCCTGTACAACAACGTTGTGCACAGCGCAACAAGGGTAAGCCCTAACAGTCTGCTACTGACCTTCAAGCCTAGACTGCCCCTAGACTTTCTACTACCTGAGAACCAGCCGACTGCTGCACCTGGCACCTTAGAATTCGCCTATCGATATGAACACCTGATGCAGCAAGCTGTAGAGCAGATGCACAAAGCGCAGGCGGCAATGATAGAGTCTGAGAACAAGCATCGCCACCCATCTACATTCCAGGTAGGGGATAGAGTCTGGGTCAAAACCTCTGAACTGCGGCAGGAGCATGGGATCTCCCGCAAGCTCGTGCCACAGTACTTCGGGCCATGGGAGGTTCTAGATGTTGTTGGGGATGATCTGGACGGGTCATATGTAGTTTGGACTCCTGGTCACCTCCGCACATACCCCGTCTTTCACGCCTCTAAGCTCGCACGTTTCAAGGAAACTGATCACTTTCCCTCTTGTCGCTCAATGCTGCCCCCAACCATGGACGGAGAAGTCGACATCGACGACGTCGTGGACCATCGAGAAATGTCAGTTCCTAGACCAACAGGCAGGGGACGTCCTCCTAAACCGAAGCTGCAATACCGTGTTCGGTTCATACATCACACTGAGCCTAATGAGGACAGATGGTTTACCAGGGAGGAACTGATGCAGACCGCTCCACAGGTTGTCGCTCACTATGAGAAGTCATGGAGAAAGGAAAGCACCAGATTGAGTATTTGAACTTCTCAGAGGACTGTCGAAGTATGGAGGAGGGAATGCGGGGCTCAAGGCCTCGATGAGCCCTACTGGGCCCTGTTTTCAGCAATATCGGCCGCCCTAAGTGAAGGCAGGCCTGACCAAGGACGAGAGGCCTATTTTGGACATTCCACACAACTAGGAAATTCGGGCAGTTGCGCAGCGTCAGTTGGTTGAGAGAACCCAGGCCCTGCCTGCCTATCTCAAATGTATCTGAGGCAGGCCCTGGGCTGGGCACGGGGCATGGACTGCACACAGGCCGCTGGCAGTTGGACACGGGTAACCACCCCAGGCCTTGTGTCTGATTCCCTTGGACCAGGGCTCAGCCACTTGGGGCCTACCGGAAGCTTCTGGGCAGGGGCCAAGCGCAGCCAGGCAGCATGCAGCAGGTAGGCCATTTCCATATAGGAAAGTGCCTGCCCCCGTATTCGGCATTCGGGCACTCGCTACATGCTGCGCAAGCGCTGCTGCACTACTAGCAGGCAAGCGCCCACGCGCTCACGGGCGAGCAAGGGATACGCAGGCAGCCATAGCCGAGCTGGCCTGCAAGGTGCTGGATGGGGCGCATGGTGGTCCTTGGGTACACGTGGCATCTGTGTGAGGGATCGAGGTTGTGAGTGATGCGTGAGACATACCTGGTGCTTGAGGCGAACGGCATTGGCCGAGATCTGCTCGTACTACGGGGAGCTGTTGACATCACCAGCGGCATTGCAGATAGGCTAGATAGGATCTGTCATTCGTAGTCTGGGCGGCGAGCTCCAGATAGGAAATCGACATTGGTTCTTTGTTTATGATGATGAAACTATTCCAACATTGTCACTGGTGAGCTTTTGATGTGCTCTTATTTGGTGGAACTCGAGTTGCAATTTTGTTTTTGGTTCAAGGTCATGACTATCTGGTTCCATGTGTATGATGCTGCTTGGTTTTCTGGAATTCGCTATTGCTCATTTTCCTTGCAAATTCTTTTAAGCCCAACCAATTCAATTACCTGTCGAATCTGGACAGGATGGCGAGTGATAACTCAAAAATAATGTAGTAGAGGTTTTACTCTCACAACATTACTACATCATTGAACCAGCATGTAGTACCCGAGGGAGTTACATGCTACAGACCTTCTACCTCAACTGCTCAGTCTGAATGAAGTCGTATGCCTTCAGCTCCTTATATCTCCTCGGAAAGCTCTACTTGCTCTATTGCTGCTGTTTCCCACTTGATCTATCCATGCAGACCCAGTCGTCCGCTCATTCAGAAAGGAAAAAAAGAAGAAAAAGAAATTCTTCTTATTTAGGCAAGGCTGACAGGCTGCCCTGCATATGGACCCAGACCGGTATCTGGTCCACATTCAAGCACCAAAAACCATACGTGAAAAAAAATGTCGAAAACCCATGGGTTGTCCTCTCCGGGAGAGAAAAACGTTCGAGCCGACTTCAGGACGATGGATAGTACCAACATCTTCGGATAATACTTGTCGAGAGGTTTGGCGCGTTTTGGACTGCAAATTTGAGGCGGGTGTCGGTGTTGGTCTTCTTGTCATCACGCGCCCGGAGCGCTGTCACCCGGGCTTGGATTTTTGTAATCGGTCCAAATTTCGCTGCCGATGCATATCTCGTGTATCTTAATGTATCCCCCATCTCCTTGATTCTGGGTCCCATTCGCCATAGCATCCACGCAGTTTCTTCGATAGCTCAGGCCATATTGTCCCTCCCGCCCTCCCGACCATGGTTTCCAAAGCTTTCAAAAAAACCCAACTGGGAAAACCTGCTCCTTTCAATTCCCGGTGGTACATGATGAGTGTTAGTGGGAGTAATGCATCGTTGTTGGTATTGGCCCGAATCCTGTACAAGGTCCCAATGATAGTTGCAATCTTTTGTTCCATCGGGCAAAGGACTGGAATTGCCTAGTAATCATGTATATGGGTTCCTTTGGATTTTTCCAAATGCTCATGGCATTTTTGAACTTGTGCATAGTTATTATTTCTGCTGGTTCCTCCAAAACAAAAATCTTCATTTCCAGGAATTCGACCACATTCTCGTCTCCGTCTGTTCTTTCGAGACGCAGTTCTGGGTGATAGCACCCGGAGATCTAGTCCATGATTCTTTCGACTCTTCCTCTTTCTTTTGCTTCTCTTTTGTTGTATAGACCAAGTAAAAACAGGTCATCAACATACCTTTTTCCGAACAAACATTTCTCATATTTTCCAAGTCCTTTTAGGAACTTGGATTCGGCAAACATGCAGACGAGGCAGGCCAAAGGGGGGCTAGCTTGTCCGCCCATTGGGATGCCCATTTTTTGTCTAAGAATTTCTCCTCTTTTATTTTTTTTATTTTTATTTTTTTCTGAAATAGCCCTTGGGTAAACCCTATATCCCGGCAGTGGTAAGAGAACCACCAGGATTGAGGATTTCTCTATTGGGCTGCTCCATGTATTGGTGGAGAGCGACACCTGCTGGAAACCGGGTCCAGCATCCCATTGATACATCTTATCAGACCACAATGGTGTTTGTTATTTTCCTGAGGCTGTGGACTTTTCTTCTACACAGACCTGGGTCTCCATCGTCCCATGGGCTGCTAGTAACACCCCTCCCCTGTCAGAGCACCCCTTTGTCTATTAGGCCAACCCACTTCAGCAGCCCCCCATTTATAATCCATTAGACCCTCGTCCTCATGCACATGACTTTTATGGTCCTTGAGCCCTGAAATGTAAACCTTCTAAGTCTCATCCTTGTTCTGTAACCGTGTGGAGGGGCCTGCTCCGGAACACTGTATGTAGAACCCACGTTCTCCTCCCTTGAATAGTGTGTCTCGTCCTTTAGACTTGCAGGAACCGAACCGACACTCCTCCGAGTGGTTATGGATCAGGATCAGAAGGGTGTACTGCAGCCCTATCTTCCGTTGTCCCATCCACACTGTGTTCCGCAGAAGCAGCTTTCTCTTCCTCTGTCCCTTGTAGCGCATCAGGCTACAATGTAGTTCTCCCGGCCCCTGTACCCGGAGACACATTGTTGCCTTGTCTGAGGCGTACGTCTTCTGAATCCGTCTGAGATACCTTTTAGAGTAAAGTGGGGAAGTGAATGGGTGGGGGGGTGTTAGGGGTGGGGGAATCGATCTGATCGGGAGTGGAGGCTGCGGGGTTATGGGGGGGGACGTCACAGGGGGGGGGGGGGGTGGCGACGGGGGGGGGGGGGGGGGCCGGGATGGCAGAGAGGGGGACTGTGAGCAGGGAGAGTGGATGGGACTGGGCTCAACCTCCACAGTCCGAGCCTGCTCTCCCGGGGCTGGGCACGCTTCCATTGTCGCGTTATTGTGGTGACCTGGTAGTGGCGTCGAGAAGGACTCGGCCGGTCTGTATGTCCGTAGGTGGTCTTGTGCCGCCCAGTTTTTCCATATCAGCCTTCATCAATCTGTACTTCCGCCATTTTGTGGTTCGGGTCGATCCATTTTGCTGCCAAGGCCGCTGTCAGATGTTGTCTACTTTCATGATCGGGGGCTACACCCACCTTTTCTTTTAAGATTTTGCTGGCTTTCAGTGTGTTTGACCTTATCACCTCAAGACGCTCTGCCTTTGCTTGGTGAATACCGAAAGTCTCTTCTCGGTGCTCTGCCGAGCACCTCATCCTCCAAATAACCATCAGAATGGGAAGTCTCATGTATTTGAAGAAATTTTGCTGGAAGGGTGTCGAGGTGGAAGGGAAGGTGCTTTTTTTTCCCAGTAGGATGAGGGCAATTTTCCAGGGAAATGGTGGATCTGTGAGCTTGCGCCACATCGCCTCCCACCATTGCCAAACCTGCACTGCCATTGGGCACTCCAGCAGACAGTGTTCCAAGTCTGCCCGTCTACGTTGTGCACCGTCTCTGCAGTGGGAGCATATAGGTGATATGACTCCTGCCTGTTCAAGGTTAGTGCGTGAGGTTATCCAGTCCGGTGTCGGGAGGCATCGGTGTATAATCGGCCACTGCAGCGCCCTATGTGTGGTTGGCATTATATGAGCATATGTGGTCCAGGGGATGTGATGTAGTTCCCCATCTTGCAGTGGTGAATCCCGTCTCCATTGAATCTGGACCACCGGGGTGGAGGCATGCGGCTTGTGCGCCTGTTTATAACCCCCGCGTACGGAATATTGCCAGATTGGGGTAGGTTTCCGGCCTTTCCAGGCCCACTCATCTGGGTCGAACGCAAGTGCTTCCACCGGGGTAGACATTTCATAGGCAAAGTAGTTATTGTCGTCGTCCCCCACCACCCTTACCCTAGTCAGTTCTCCCAGAGGGCATACTCTGTCTAGTTTGAGGACCCTTTTCAAAGAGGTCCATCGTGCCCCTGGGACATCTGGTTCATATGCGTGGAGGTGTGCTTCTTGTCCTGTGCAGTGGGCCACCCTGAAGACGGTCATGGGGATGGGGTTCCGGGTGGTCTTTATCACCCAGTCCAGGCTGCAGACCGTTGGACCCTCCCGTAGGGCGGCCAACCACAAAAACGGGACTGCCCTATGGATGAGGTCCAACTTATCCCGTCTTTTTTCTGATGCATCTCAGGTTTGGCTGCAACTGCTGCACTGACTTCCATGCACCGTTTTGGGCATCCCAGAGGTCCCCGACGCAAAAGAGGCCGTTCCTCACCCATGACAGCCAATGGGAGTTGACCGCCAGCTGTGTATCCATTCAACTCGCAACGGGTTTTGTACAACTCCGTTGTACTCGTTGTACACCCCCAGGGTCCGAGTTGAATCCCTGTTGAACAGTACAACGGGGGCTTCCCGTTGAAATCCGATCAACGGGTCGAGCCCAATGGGTCGCGGACACGTGGCAGGATACGCGTGGAAAAAAAAAAGTGAAAAAAAAAGTAAAAAAACTGCCCTCTGTGTGTGTGTGTGTGTGTGCGTGTGTGTGTGTGTGTGTGTGTGTGTGTTCATGTGTGTCTGTGTGTGTGTGTGTGTGTGTGCGTGTGCGTGTGTGTGTGTGATCGGTTGGGGTGGGGGTGG